TAAAATTTTACTTCGCCAAGTTTTTTTGGAGCGTGCAGTACGAAATAAAGTGCGATAAACTATGATGTAAGTGATGTTCCTGTCGTGGAGAGTGAGATCTCACGAGCAGTCGAACGACTTGAAGGATTCTGCTTTCCATCTTCGTTCCAGTAGTCGCTTATACTGGATGACGTTCATGTCTTTCCCGTGAAAAGCAACTACCGGAACGAAGTACTCTGCCATGAAGGAATGCCCAGTATACTCATTATGGTGCGCGATAACTCAGTACATCGACAACGTCAGCACAGATGGAGCAGTAAGATAGAATCTGGAACGAACCTCTTGAAAACTCTCGCAGTTGCGATCTTCGCTGAGGTAAAGGGTTGGAGATCACGATGGGAGTGACAGGTAGGGCAAAGAGCTGATCAGAAAGATGGCGACGTGGTCCCATGAAGCAAGCTCGAGTGAGAGCTGTTGTCCAGTATGCTTATCATGGCGCGAATCACGGTAATGGTTGAATTTTTGGAAGAATCTGATGCTTTTAAGAAGAGACAAGATAAAAAAGATATCGAATGAAGAATAGAAGAGAGACAGAAGAAAGGGTAGCAGCAGGGGAGGAAAGAGTGGATGAGTGGAAGAGGAAAGAGGACGGCGAGGAGTAGCGGACCGCTTTAAATTGAAGAAGGATGTGAAGAGCTTGGAGAGTATGGATTAGCGCAGATTAGCGCCCTTTATTGCAATAGTGACCGTGGCTTACATAATAGTTTCGGTTGTAGAAATTCTCTCATCGCTTATATCTGGGTTAATCCGTTATATCGGCGGTTCAGCGTACACGATGGTCAATTCAATACGCTTATTCGAATCACACATTCCTCGTTAACGTGCCATCAAATCTTAACTAAATCAACGGCGACCATCATGGAGACGACAATATCAGAAGATTCAGAACTCAGCCACTGTGTTGGCGGTGAAAAGCTCATCCATGACTCGAAAAGTCTTCGTCCATTATCACACACGGATGAGTCTGATTATTCACCTCACGGAACTTACTGACTTTGACTTTTCATGTCCGCTATATCATCGGTAATCTAGAATCCGCAGCTTGGACACCTTGTGAACCCGCGAATCCAGGACGGAATATGTCAAGGCTGTCACGGCAATGAGTCAATATACGGAATTGGCCCGCGAGGCGTTGCCTTTGCATCCATGCGTTCGCAGCGTTCAGACGCAAACTAAGCAATATTAAATGATGATCATAGTTGAGGCAGCGGAGAGCGGTCGAGAATCAAGCTACAAGCTCAAATTGTAGATCCATCTCCCCGTTCATACATCCAATGGAGACAGAACACGAACACGACATAATGTGTAATACTGGCGTGCTCAAACATGTACCAAACCAATTGTGACAGCATGCGACGCTGGATGAGCTGCGCGATTACGGTAAAGCTTGCTATCGCACTGTTTTCGACTTTCGAGTTTTATGTAACTCTTGGAGCATTCGCACCTTGCAATTGCATCTTTGCTAGATAAGATTTTTGATGGTTACCCACTGAATTAACTGAAGTACTTCCGCAGCCCGTTCACCCGGTTTTCAGTAAGGCAGCCCTGAAGCGATCAATCCCCTCTTGGCCATCCTTCAAATCTTCATTCTTAGCCAGACGTGGTATGTAGTACGTGGCGTATGAGTATCGATTTCGGCATACAGAAATATCATTCCCTCGTGAACTCACACTGTATTCCAATTTGTCAAGCCGCACTGATATGTTCCTCCTATTTAATCTGCTCTTTTCTTGGCCTTCAAACCACTGGAGCCCACATTTTCTTCACAACTTGGGATGTCGAGCTCTCCATTCTCTGACGCTGACCTAACCTTGTTCAGAGATGAAAATACCAAGTACCCTGAACAAGTGTGGTATACTCTCGCCGCTTTTCTCTTCGTGATCGGCTGCTTCCAGTGGGGATTGTTCCTTCATTCCAAGTTCGCCAGGCGGGGACACCACGAGTCCGACGAAGAAGCGACTACCACCAATGGCCTTCATCAGAAATTTTCTCTTCGTCGAATTCCGCTTGCGGTCATAAATTTCTACCGCGTTGTTGCCTTCCGATGGACCCTGGAAATAGGACAATCCTATACCCTCAACATGGCAGAGGTCTTTGTCAGTGTGGCATACATCGTCCTTCTGTTGATCTATGCTTTCATTAATAGTAAGCACGCAAGATTGTGGGCGGCGGTCACACCACATTAACCACTAAATCACGCAGCTACCTCAGTCGAGGGTCAGAAGCTTGATATCGTCTACTGGAGCAACCGCATAGCATTGCTGGCGTCCAGTCAGTTTCCCATCGTCACGGCTCTTGGTACAAAGAACAATCCCGTATCTCGTAGGTGGAAACGCTCTTAATCCAATGTTTCGCTGAATTTTCGCATCAGTGGTCACGGGCATCAGTTACGATAAGGTATGACACTTAATTACCATCCACGTGGCACCTACTTATGAACGCAAAGCTTAATTATATCCATCGAATGACGGCTAGGACATGCTTCATGCTACTTTGGGTACATGGAGCTGGCCATATTGTATCCGATCCCTAGTATGTATCTTCAATTTCATATTTGCCATTTTCTGATAGAAATCATCGAAAGCTTCCGGGAGAGTTTGAGCGAACCATGGCTTCGTGCCGGTGTCACTGCCATGGTCGCTTTCTCTATTCTAATCATAGTATCACTGCGTCCCGTTCGCAGCAACATGTATGAGGTCTTCTTTTATGTTCACTTCCTTGGCGTCCTGTGGGTGCACCACGTCTGTTCGCTTGTAATTGTCATTGACAGACGAAACGCAGCATATTTCTGGTGGGAGGATATTACCACACCAAAGGTGCTCAGTAAGTGCAAACGAATACAGACAGCTTGGTTTTTGACTTGCAGCGAACAGCGGGTCATATTGGATATGGCCCTCGTTTGTCTTCTGGGCTTTCGATCGCTTCATCCGGGCGGTTCGACTAGTTGTATTCAACCACTCTTACTTTGGGTTCAAGTCAGGAACTGGGACAATGGACGCAGCGACAGAATTGCTTTCCGAAAATGTCGTTCGATTGCGCCTACGTCGACCCCAGCATTTCCATTGGTCCCCAGGACAAACGGCGTATCTAATTATGCCCTCAGTTTCGACCCTGCCATTCGAAGCGCACCCCTTTACTATTGCGAGTTTTGATTCTAGTCTGCTGTCAACCGCATCAGCGGAAGATCAATCCAGCGCTGAGGTTACGGGACCTAGCGCTCCGTTCTGGAAGGAACTGGTATTTTTGGTCAACGTGCAGGGAGGTTTCACGAAAAAGCTCAAGGAAGTAGCTGCCAAGAAGGAAACTATCAAAGTTTTTGTAGATGGTCCTTATGGGCCATCTCCTGACCTCGGTTCATACGATACCTCTGTATTGGTGGCAGGTGAGTTGTGTATCGTCTCGTAATCACATGGTACTGATCGAATTCAGGCGGGTCTGGTATCTCGTATACCCTCCCGGTCTTCCTTAACATCATCGAGTATGCGCGCTCATTTTGATTGTTGTCATTGATGATTGATCCTTCTTATAGACGCGTACGCAAAGGGAAAAGCTCTTGCACACGCGTGGTGTTCATTTGGTCCATTCGTGGGGCTGGTGCGTGTATTCACAACAATCCGCAGCTTCTTCTTAAGGTTATTAACGTCATGCATCGTAGAGTATGTCCAATGGATCGAAGAAGCACTTATCAATGCTGTTCAGCTTGCTCCGCCTTCCTTGGCAGTCTCTATCCGCATCTTTATCACCGCATCTTCATCCAGGGAAGATGATTCAAGCATTTCAAGTTCGACTGAGAAGAAAGGCAATCCAGAACACAGGGTAGTTAGGAAAAATTCCTTATCACTGTCATTCTTGTCGCTGCGCGGCGTTAGGACGGAAAATGGAAGGGCGGATCTAGATGCACTACTCAAAGAAGAGGTCGATGTAACCTCGGGGAGGATGTCAGTGGGCGGTAAGTACTTATTACCCCGACCTCCAAGAACGAGCAACTTACGGGTACGACATTAGTTTGCGGATCGCAGGGTATAGCACGTGCGGTCCGTCATGCGCTTCGGTTCCCGGTCTCTGGGCCTTCTAGTATCCTCAGTGGTGGACCGAGCGTGACGCTGCACGTTGAATCGTTCGGATACGCTTGATAGTCTCGAGTCCCTTTTTCTTAAACTTCTTATTCACTTACCTTTGATTACTGCGTAATCAGGGTTGCTCGCGATTTGTTGTTGTGGGTTTCAAGGATTCTTAGTATTGTATCCGTCAGCTGTGAAAAAAGTTTAAATGGTTCGCAACTAGAATAGAATATGTATTGATACATGGGCGCGACGAACATCAAGAGAACTTCTGACTTTGTTCAATCACGCCATCATCCATCAGTACTCTTGATCCCGATGAGCGACACTAATAGGGAGGGACCGAAATGCCCGGTCCTATAGTATCGAAGGAGTTTGTCAAGAAGTTAGAAAGATTATAGCCACCATCACGCATCACGCTCGGAGACATGGGCGCAAAGAAAAGCAGCATCAAATGGCCGTATGTATTACTGCTATTTCAGTCCTTAGCTAGCTAAGGAGTTTCGCCAAGTACAGTACTAGGTATAAGGTTGATGATGACGCACTGGCAGGAGGAGACACATTGAAATGTCATCATACTATCTTGAAGTGACTCACAGATCGGAAATTAACATCGAACTCGGGCTGATGCGCACTGACAGCCACCACTAAGTACGAGCCCGTCGGCAAAGCGCGTGAAACAGTTGACGACATATTTTATGTTTCACATCCACAGCGGAAATAGTTCGAAGAGTAAGTTTGCGGTCCAGGTAGACAACCTTGCGTGAACATACGATTAATATTATCAACAATTCCAGATATACCTTCGGTTCATCGTTCGGCACCGACTTTATCATGTGCGTGATAAATGAGTTCCCAGTTGTCCGGAAGAACTCTAGCTTGTAGGCTACATCAACATCGTATACTTATTAAAGCAACGTTCTGATTTTGGTTCATGTCAGTTCGACATCCGGACCCTTCGCCCTCTGATGCTACATTTATAGCTTGGGGTTTGAATCATGCTCTCAGGTATTCCCTTAAAGTTATTCATTCCCTCGGCCGATATGCATTCAACTGATAACACAGTTATCTGGCATATTTGGCATACCGTCAGCGCCCATGCTCAATCCGGGGGGCAATGGGCCCATGATTTCCTCTGGGGGAGACCCGTGTTTTTGAAGCTGTGATTGTACCGGCGATGTCAGTGCTATGTCGAGTTTAGTAGACTTGGGGCTGACGCACCTCGCCCATGATGTCGACGATTTCAAGTCTCGTCTTGTCGTCGTTGTCAGCGTAATCTTTCGATTCGAAAATTTCGAGGAGTTGCTTCATGCAGATGATCTGTGCATCGTAGCGTGACTTATCATCGGCCGTTAGTGTAGCTGCATTGGCCTTGAGGTAGTCCGGGAACTGCAGATATGACGAAGGGGAAAAATCAGAGGTTTCGCTATGTCAAGAACAGGCCTACCTTGTCCGAGAGTTCTTCTAATTACTGCTCATGTACGACGTTAAGCGACTTGGGTATAAATCAAAGTACGCTCGACGAGCGATTTCAAGCTTATCTTACGATGTCATAACGACTCGGATACGGCCGGTACCCGAGTCGGAAATTATCGTTCGGCTCCCACGGTATGACCTCGCTCACCGCATGGACCTTACATCATAAGCCCATTGATATTTTCGTTCTTTTTCTTGCAAATGAGCATTGTGGCTGCACTCCCTCTGATATTGGTAGTATATATATCAGTTCAGTATGACAGAGGCACTACTTACTAATTATCAGAGCTGACAAGGTTTCTGAGGTCGTTTTACGTTACACTGCTGATACCTTGTTTTCGCCCCGGCTTGGCAGCCGAACGGTGGCTCCGGGAGTGGTATCAGGTCACTACACACTCACTCGGATATGCTCACAGTTCCGCATGCAGTTTGATTTTTCGTTTACAAAGTTTGCGTCCGAACTTCGGTTGAGCACCCACCCAACGGTGGCAATACCAACGCATATATAAAACCTGACCAGTGCATGTATGAATACAAACCAGAGTAGGATCTTTCAGGAATCAGCATGGCGATCAGTGAAATATTCAACACTATCCTTGCCTGGAGCACGCATCTAGCGTCAAATGTAGGAGCGCAGTTGGCCATGAACCAGCGCGGTATGATTGCTTCCGATCGTCCCATTGCTGGCGATGGATGTGATCAACCTCTGAAGAAAATCTTCATACCTGACGTACTCGCAAGATGGCCGTTTTCCCGTCGTCTCAATCAGCACTATTCCAGCGTCCGTGCTGAATCATCTGCTTGGTTCGCAAGCTTTAAAGTCTTTAGCCCCAAAGCACAAGAAGCCTTCGATCACTGCGATTTCAGTAAGACATGGTGGCCCATAATAAGCCTGTTGATGTGCTCACGCTTTTGTCAGATCTTCTTACATGTTTATGCTACCCAAATGCGTGCGAAGGTGATCCCTAGAACTATACCAGTCAACGACTTACTGAAGAGTCGGATCCACACAGAGCACATTCGCAGCGCTTGCGATTTCATGAATCTTTCATTCTTCATAGATGAATGCTCCGATATCTCGGAAGAGGACAAGTTCCGTCAACAAAAAGATGCCATAATGGATGCTCTGCGTCACCCTCATAAGCCACGTCCCAAAGGGGAATGGGTCGGTGGAGAAATCGCTCGCCAGTGGGTGATTTACAATCTGATATTCAACGTCAGTACCTAAGTACCACACCGACAGATTCTGGGAACGTACTATACGTAACGCCAGTGGTCAATCGCAGAAACGGTTTATCTCGACATTCGATGACTGTCTAGGGGGAATATTGCAGCAAGTCATCGACCGAAGCGGACATCACACTCGTGACGTCCAAAGTTATTTCGACGTGCGCCGCAACACGGGCGGAGCATGGCCTTCATTTGCCCTCTTGGAGCTGGGTCTCGATATCCCGGATGAAGTAATTTCACACCCAACAATTGAGGATATGGTGGTGGCATCCGTTGATATGATCGTTCTGGCTAATGTCAGTATCTTTCTACAAACATCAAAAATGTCACTCATCAAGTTGGCATGATCTTACAGGACATCACATCCTACAATGTAGAGCAAGCGCGCGGAGATGACCGTCACAATATAGTAACAATTGTCATGCACGAGTTTGATACGGATATCAACGGTGCCATGTTATGGGTGACGGATTACCATACAAAACTTGAGAAGAAATACTTCGAGGCCATGGCAGCCATTCCGAAATGGGGAGAACCCATTGACTCACAGGTTAGGGAGTACTGTGATGGTCTGGGAAACTGGGTGCGCGGCAACTACGATTGGTGCTTCGAGAGCGAGAAGTACTTTGGCACCAATAATCTGGGAATTCAACAGAATAGGTGGATTTTGCTTATGCCGAAAGACCACTTGAAAGGAGAGATTGGACCTATACTTCCACAAGTCGGTGGGACCCATTGAACGACTCGTTTCTTAACAGATTTCGACCATGTTACACGCTCAGCCATGTCATCCATGTCATAACTTTTCCTCCGCATTCCGGATTATCTTCTTGGTCACTTGCTTGTTTTCGACGTGCTATTGCCACTATCCCATTCGCTCCTATGCCGTCTACAGCGATGGTGCTGTAGAAGTTGTACACCTTCCACTCCTGCAACTGATCTATTATGTAGCTAGTAATAATGCGAAATTCTTACTATGTGTTCCAAAGCTCGCAACTCCAAATTTATGGTCCTTCGCTTTGGGCACCAATGAAAACGCAAGCTAAAGTAAGCTCAGCATCGAACCTGTTGTTCGTGGTTGCGAGCATGAATTCTATTCATCGAACGATGTGTTCATGATCCGACAGCAGTGTTTGTGAGAAGGTTGCTCTGTTATTGAAGCCTTGGCCTTGATCGAAAGCCTGTTCGTCGCCCTATGGCGCAGGCACGGACTTGCACCCTTGTCGTCTGCCACTGGTCGAGGACGTTCAGCCGCCGCATCGAAGTGGGGGGGGGATAAAGATACCTTTTACAGAATTTACATTAGCTAATCGTAAATTTCTCCGGATATCCCGACTTATTGGGAAACCCAGGTGCATCATTATCAACGTTATACTCGAACACAGTTCCGTGACTCAATATCGAAAATGCACTGGCAGGAGGAGACAGAATAAAAAAAAGTTTGGAAGTGACATGTCAATCTCGGGCTGATGCGGACAGCCACTAATTAAGCACCTCTTGGCAAAACACGTGAAAGAGTTGACAACATTATGTCAACATAACACAACCAGACCTTAGAAATAATCTGAAGAATAAGTTTGCGGTCGAAACAAGAGGAATCTTCCTTGTACAGTCTTACCGATCAGGTAGGCAACCTTGAATGAACATGCGATTAAGATCATCGACAGTTCCAGACATACCTTCGGTTGGTCTTTCGGCCGCGGCGTCGATTTCATCATGTACGTGATAGATGAGTTGCGACTCATCCCGAAGAACTCTAGAGCATGATTCAAACCCCAAGTCGCTCAGCCATAAATGTAGCATCAGAGGGCGAAGGGTCCACCGGATATCGAACTGACATGAACCAAAATCAGAACGTTGCTTTCATAAGTATACGATGTTGATGTAGCCTACAAGCTCAGGTATTCCCTTAAAGCTATTCATTCCCTCGGCCGATAGGCATTCAACTGATGATACAGTTATCCGGCATATTTGGCATACCGTCAGCGCCCATGCTCAATCCGGGGGGCAATGGGCCCATGATTTCCTCTGGGGGAGACCCGTGTTTTTGAAGCTGTGATTGTACCGGCGATGTCAATGCTATGTCGAGTTTAGTAGACTTGGGGGCTGACGCACCTCGCCCATGAGGTCGACGATTTCAAGTCTCGTCTTGTCGTCGTTGTCAGCGTAATCTTTCGATTCAAAAATTTCGAGGAGTTGCTTCATGCAGATGATCTGTGCATCGTAGCGTGACTTATCATCGGCCGTTAGTGTAGCTGCATTGGCCTTGAGGTAGTCCGGGAACTGCAGATATGACGAAGGGGAAAAATCAGAGGTTTCGCTATGTTAAGAACAGGCCTACCTTGTCCGAAAGTTCTTTTAAGGGCTCGTACAGGACGTCCTTGCCCATAAGCTGGCCCATCATGGCTTCTAGGACACCCTGCATCTCTTCTTCATCCTCGTCTCCGAATTGAGATAGAAGCGCCTCGAGTGAATCAGCATTAGGAGCAGAACTGCTCGGATCCGATGACTTCAAGCCTGACTCGCTCTCCTTGAGCTTGTTCATAGTGTTCCGAATGCGTGATTGGAAGTCGTCCTTCAAGTTTTCGCCAGTTTTCGGGGTAATAGGTGGTGCTCCCTGTGTGAGCGATGGGTCGGTCGCGCCATCCATCTCTTCTATCAGCATGGCTTCCCAAGTTGCTGCAAGGGTACGCTCCCGCTCTTCTCGTTGTTCTGCGGTCTCGTCTTCATGGGTTATACCTTCAGTCGCTCCTTGTTGCGAAAAACCGCGCCAAAGAGCCTCCATTTCTTCAGCCAGCGATTTCGCAAAGTCAGCTTCGAAGTCGGCATTTGATGAAGACGTATTTCGTTTGGACGAGGTTGATTCATTCACAGCAGGTGATGACGTCGATGGTTGAGATAAACTGGACGCGGGAGCCTTGGACGGAGTAAACTGATCCAGGACATCTGCTAGCCTTTATAAGCGCATCTAGATAACGAAAACATGGTCGGCTTCTGACCGTCGAGATCATCGACGTCGTCCTCATCGTCAACACGTGGTTTGGTGCTGTTGGACATGAAGCTTAAGTACTGTGTTGCACTCGATTCAAGCTGCGATTAGTACATGACTACTGATGCATCGATGCCTTCTCACGGTTGGGCAGCCATTCACCATTTCTTTTATTCCCTGTATCTCTGGGGCCGAATTTACCGCACGCTGTATAAAAGGCATGGCGTTGATTGGTCTTTGATCGAGTACACAATTTGACAGCAGTTGCATGTGCCTAGACTGAGTAAACAAAAGCTAGTACTACGTACGGAGAATTGCAAAGTTCTAAGAAAAAAACCAAACTATTGCAGTGGCAGTGTCGAAGCGCACTGATGGAAACCATGCTCCAGCGCTCCAGCTGTGGCGGCACAGCCTGAGCTTCTATTTCATGCAGTAAAGGCGAGCTCAAATATGTACACTCATAACGTCTTATCAGTTCCCTGCCTTCTCACAGAACATGCTATCTTACAGCAGTAGGATAGCTTGTCCATGAGTGGGCCGCCGGCCGTGTTGACCGGGCGCAACTTCCTGCACATGCAACATTTCAGAACCAAGGAAGATTCCAAACCAACTGAACACGTCGAAAGCATTGGTTCTCCAAGTCAACTCTGCAGCAAGGTTCAAATTTCGAAAGCGACACCCATGACGCCTTCTGGGACGAAACCTTCTCCACATAGACAGACACAAAACCGAAAGGTACGTCCCACACTCACCATTGACACTGATACTACGACACCCAATGCTGCAAGGCTGAAGCTTATGTAAAGACTCGCAGGCCATTCCGCCATTCCACACTTTGACAAGAATTTACGTACCCTGAGAAGCCGCACTGCTTGGATACCATCGTCGTTGATATGCGGCCATTCCATACCACCCCGGATTCCAGCCATTAACCCGCGCATGAAGCCTCTACGCAGACTGAGGGTAAACACCGAGGGCGAGTATAGATCAACGAGTGAGTCTGGGAGACTCGTTCGGCGCGCAGAAAGACTCTTGGTTCGTCCAGTGCGAGCTCCACCTATACAAACATGGACATACAAGCACCCGCCTGAGGCAGGCGCATGTAGAACCAGAGCTGCCTCCGCCTGAGGCAGAAGTGGTCAACTGTGGGTAGAGAGGAGGGATATGGAAAAGCCGCAGCAGTAGGTAAGGCGTCATACGGAATGTTTGAAATGTTCAATCATCAGAAGTCAGGTTTGAGTCGGAGTGTCAAAACAGCGCGGGAAAATGTAACACAGCATTGCAGATCGACTGACGCATGGGAATCCGACAGAGCCTCCCCCACTAACGTGGGACTCGGGGATTGGGAGTCATACTTTCAAACGCAGTCACACGAAGTTGATAGTGACCAAGGTGATATGACACCCTACATGATTGTAACAATGTGCCTCTGTACAAGTCTGACGTCCACTGTAACTTAATGAGGCTATGGCAGCCGGCCGCCTGCGAGTTTCTTCTGTCCCGCTGACTTATCTAGGCTCTGCATGGTGTGGATGCCATGTGCATCCTGTGGTTCCCTCCTTTATAATATCCTCCAGGACTTCACAGGTACTGCAGTCTTTCGTGACCTCCAGCACACACATCTTACTCTCAATTTTCAAAGCGTTCGTTTGAATCCATCCCTCAGGCTTCAGCTATCATAACACCCCCAGGACCCAGGAGAGATGAACCTCGGTGGAGTGCAACAAGTCGTCATTACTTGTATGTGTTATCTACCTCTGCTCAGCTCGTATTGACGATCTCCCTCAAGCCATTCGTGCAACTGATCTCTCGATTGGTCTCCAACGGATCCCCGCCGGGTTTCATGCGGTAGTCAAGGCTGACGGTGCTGAATACCAGACAAGCAATCTATCTATACACGTAGACCAGGCTGTCGTCGAATGGCACGAGCGCATTCCTCTGTAAGTGGTCCTCAACCCCATCTGTCTTGCAGGTATTGAGAAAGACTCGAGGCCGTGCGATCCATCTTCTAAAGTTCGGGTCAGCGTGTATGCCTCATTTGAATTGGGTCCCATGGTTTGTCACGGAGAACTCCTCCGTACATTCGATATCTCTGTCGCAGAATTGCTGGATCACAGCGAAAGGTCTCATCGTCAGTATTATCTATTGCAAATTACACCTCATGGATGCTGACGAGTATCACAGCCGTGATCTTTGAGCCAAAGCAGGACATCGTATCCGCTTGCACTTCAGTGTTCATGACGGTGGGGCAGCGACATTCTGATCAAGACGACGGCGATCTTCTTTGTCCCCTTACTACCGTGAGTGATCAATGCAGTTTGGCATTCTGATACTGATCACTGTAACGTGTAGTTTACCTCCCGTGAAATGGATGCGTTAACTGTAAAGACGGATGCCGGACATCGTCTTCTCGCACGATACCGGAGAACGCAGAACAGTAGAGATCTGGACCAATCCATAAACCATTTCAAACGCGCCTCGGATCTGTGCCACGTGGATCATCCCTACCGCCCTGCGGCACTGTTTAATCTAGCCACGGCAAAGTTCATTCGTTGCCAAGCTAACGGAAGATCCCTGGACCTCGATATACCCATATCTCTTTTTGAAGAGGCACTTGATTTGCGTCCCGCTGGCCATCCAGACCGACCCACCACCCAGCTCCATCTTGCCATTTCTCTGCTCTCTCGCTTAGCGAAACGGGGATATCAAACAGATGTCGACATGGCTGAAGAGTTACTGAGCGAAGTCCTTGACGTCTGCCACCCCAAAAGCCACATTTACAAAGAAGCTTCGATTGCAATGGAAACACCCGCTCTGCCTTCTGCTGGAAGCGTGGATGCAAACAATGTTGAGCAGGAGCGGCCTGCCGCATCCATACTTCCGTTATCGCCGAATCAACTTACTGATCGAGCAAAGGGGTGTTTGCAGAGAGATGAACCGCGTGACTTAGATGAAGTGATATCCCTTCATTATGATGCACTGCGATGTTACAACACCGGATATGCTTCCCGAGGGCAATTGCTGTGTAATGTGTCCGTAATGTTGCTAACTCGGTTCAAGCGTCGAGGGAACGGCAAAGACCTGGATCAGGCTTTCGCACTTCAGACGGAAGAGCTGGCCTTGTGTCCGGTTGGTCACACAGGTCGGTCCATGTCATTAAATAACCTCGCGAATATACTCTTCTCCCGCTTTGACCTCCGAGGCAACGACGAAGACTTGGATGAGGCTATCGCACTTGACAGGGAAGCGCTGGCCTTGCGCCCGGTCGGTCACACGGATCGGTCCAGGTCATTAAATAACCTCCCGACTTCACTCTTCTCCCGCTTTAAGCACCGAGGCAACGACGAGGACTTGGATCAGGCTATCGCACTTTCCAGGGAAGCACTGGCCTTGCGCCCGGTCGGTCACCCAAATCGGTCCATATCATTGAGTAACCTGGCGAATCATCTCTCCTCCCGGTTTGAACACCGAGGCAACGAGGAAGATTTGGATCAGGCCATCGCACTTCTGAAGGAATCGTTGTCTTTGTGCCCGGTCGGTCACATAGATCGGCCCTTGTCATTAAATAACCTTGCGACTCATATCGCCCATCGCTTTGACCACCGGGGCAACGAGAAAGACTTGGACCAGGCTATCATACTTCACAGGGAAGCGTTGGCCTTGTGCCCTGTCGGTCACAAAGATCGGTCCATGTCATTGAGTAACCTCTCGAATCTACTCTCCTCCCGGTTTGAACGCCGAGGCAATGACAAAGACTTGGGTCAGGCCACAGCACTTCAGAAGGAAGCGCTGGCCTTGCGCCCGGTCGGTCACACAGATAGGTCCGCGTCATTAAATAACCTTGCGACTCTATTCTCCTCCAGCTTTAAGCACCGAGGCAACGACGAAGACATGGATGAGGCTATCGCACTTCACAGGGAAGCACTGGCCTTGCGCCCGGTCGGTAACCCAGATCGGTCCAGGTCATTAAATAATCTCGCAGCCGAACTCACCTCCCGTTTTGACCACCGAGGCAACCGAGAAGACTTCGACGAGTCACGAGAGAGCCTACGCTATGCATTGACGCTGTTGACACAACATGATCCTTATCAATTAGTCGTCCATCTGTCGCTAGCCAAAGTCTATCTGTCGTTCCATCGTTCAGGCCTTGAGGACACCAGCGCAGGTGAAGATACTGATAGTCTGAATGCTGCCATGCATCATTTCAAGGCAGCAGCAAATGTTGTCTCTGCAGGCTTGATGTTTCGCCTGGAACTAAGTCTATTTTGGGTTCACCATGCTGATGAACACAGACATGGTACTCAATTGGAGGCTTATGCAACTTCCATGCAACTTCTGGATGCTTACATGTCTCAGACGGCTTCAGTATCGTCTCGTCACAATATCATGAAGGGCTTCCCAACTACACTTGCCGTCGATGCAGCGTCGTGTGCTCTTCGTAGCGGTGATGTGTGTTGCGCTGTTGAATTGCTGGAACAAGGCAGGACCATCATTTGGACCCAGATGACACGACTCCGCACCCCTCTTGACAGCCTCCAGACTCGCGGCGATCATGCAGCAGCCCTGCTGAAGAAATTCAGAGACCTCAGCTCCCTCCTCGACAAACCTCCTGCGAGCCATCCAGAAGGGACTCCAATAGTCAATGTGGAAGCAGAAGAAACCCGGTACAGACGTATAGTGGAGGATTGGAATAGAGCTGTAGAAGAGATCCGGAAGATTGAGGGCATGTCTCGCTTCCTCCTTCCCCCCTTATTCTCAGATCTTCAAGATGCAGCTCGTGATGGGCCTATCATCCTACTCATCGCAAGCAAGTCATCCTGCCACGCCATTATCATTCCGCACAAGCAACCTCCGACTAGCATTCAACTCCCTACCAATCTTGACAAACTCCAGATATTAGTGCGCGCGTTCCAAGAGGGAGCTCAAAAAGAGGCCGGTCCTAAAGGGAACCAAACAGCGCTGAAAAAACCTTTGAGAGAGTTGTGGGACCTCGTCGCCTGCCCAGTGGTGGAGAGTCTGGAAGGATTTGCACGACGAGGTTCTCGAATATGGTGGTGCCCAACGTCTCTGTTCAATTTCTTGCCGTTGCATGCTGCCGGCGAGTATAGGGCAAAGGGAAAGTCTGTTTCGCAGCGATACATCTCTTCATACACGCCATCGCTCACCGCCTTGATCAAGGCTCGCGCAAGTCATAATAGGCCCTCGTCAGTTCCCTTCGTTGCCATTGGTCAGGATTGCCCAGCCGGTGCCGAATTCACTTTGGATGCTGTGGAGCCTGAGCTGGAATTGGTGCGGAGACTTTTGCCTCCTCCTCCAACGGTTTCTTTCTCCAAGATAACCAGTGCTGATGCCACAAAATCGAGAGCACTGCGCGCATTACGAGACAATACTTGGTTCCATCTCGCGTGTCATGGGACGCAGAAAATTGAGGAACCCTTCAAGTCGGCCTTTCTGATGCGCGACGAACCGCTTTCGCTCCTCGACATCTCACAGACGGATTTGTCTCAACATGAATTTGCATTTCTTTCTGCCTGTGAAACCGCAGTCGGCGTCTTCAGTACGCCCGATGAGGTGATACACCTAGCGGCCGGCCTGCAATTTTCCGGGGTGAACAGCGTTGTGGGGACATTGTGGAAGGTCACAGATAATACCGTGCAACGCTTAGTAGAGGCATTCTACAAAAATCTTTGCGGGGATGGCCCAATGAATTCCAAACGAGCTGCCTGGGCGCTGCACCGAGCGGTCCAGTTGTTAGCTTGCGATACGGACAATATAATGCCCTTGGACCAGCGCATAGTGTTCGTGCATATTGGCATATGATTCATTTCGTGCGTCCTCCTACCTTGATTAAAGCATTCTTGAGACAATCTGACGACTTCCCGTGTAGCGTCCAGTCATGACCACGCACAACCTGTTACTTGCCAAGGACTTCGATATTGCGGACTTTGAACTGTATGGTAATCTACACGATATGTACATTCGATTTAGACTTGAATTTTTATTTTCTAGCTTGTTGCCTCTGAATGTGATCGCTCCTGTGCACTGAAGTACTGATGCATTTGTGTTTAAGAATGAAGTTGCACAACGCTAATTAATCTAGCACAGTAGCATAGTACCTCATGTGGCAAGACATGGATATGCCACTGGTAGCGGAGTGTCTGAATTACATGGCGTTGAATGTGTTCCCATCCATCATGCGAAATCTGGTGTTTATGCCAAGGAGCATGGCCCCAACTCCGACCATGGGAGCTGCAGTCTCCAGCGATGATTGAGTCGAACTTGGCCCATCTGCGGCACTGTGCTCCACACCATCAGCTTCAATGAGACATTCAAAGAAGGCCAACTCATTGATCGAGATATCTAGCGGATCAAATTCATTGGATCGACAAGACTCAGATTCGAATCCTTCAATTTGTTCTTCTCTATCCGTCTAAATCCGTATACACGTTGCGCACCAAGTACTCCTCTCTTGCTCACCTAGCGGAAGGCCCAACTTCGACAGGCAAGATGTCCATTAGTCCGAGTCTGTGGTCAGTCATCGATTCATCGTTCTCAATCACAGTAACGCTTACTCTGGTAAATGTTTGTAGTGCGCGGCTCCCAGGAGCTAGTTCGATTTAGAGTCGTCGCGCCATTCAATTCCCGGCGTTGCAATGTTGAGCGCTGAGCCCTCTTAGCTAGTGTAGCCAATGGTGGTCCGAATGTTACTCCACACATCGAGTCCTTTTGGGTACACCTAGTACAACAGACGTCAGGCATATCCTGAAGCTCCTCTACTTCGAGCACTGTTATAATTAGACCTGCATGCATAATAATCGAATTTCAGTCTGCCTTGAATATTGTTGGAAATTCTTTGAGCCACGCGTGTAAGATCATTCGTATCTTCGAAGTATTGACCGCAGCTTTGATCCCTAATCTCGTGCTCGACGGTGGATAGTTCAATCTAGTCTTTGCAAACTATCCTAACGTTTCCTCAATGATTTACTCAAAGGTTTCAATGGCAGATACTATGATCATATTGAGTCAGGTAACATTGGATTGGCATTTGATTCGTCAGATTAACAGTAACTTACAGCAGAGAGTTCAATCAAGTTCAATGCATATAAACAAGAATAGAAAGAATGTTCGTCCATGATCCACCTTGGAAGACTAATGACAATGTAAGGCCGTCCAAGTGGGTTGGTCAGGATGTCGAATCTGACCTAGATACCCAGCCGGTCATTCGAAATGAAATGGGTACCACCAGCACATCGATAACCGTGCGACTGCTTGATCCAGCGAAAGCCTGCAACGCACACACCCATTTCCTGCAACTTCCGCTGTACTTGAGCCTCTTCGCGCCTCCTCCTCACTTCCTCTTCCTGCTTCTTCCTCAGCGCGGCCAAGGCATTCTCTCGAGCAGCCTTAGCCTCTAGCTCTCGGATGCGAGCAGCCTCTCGCTGGCGCATGAGCTCTTCATTGGCGGCATTATCATTTGCTTTTTTCTGCGCGAGTTTTCGTGCAGCAGCTTCTGCAGCTCGCAGCTCGTTCAGGGCATTCTGCTGCGCAATATTATGCTTTCGTAACTCTTCAGCGGCATCCTCTTCGGCTGCTTCCGCAGCTGCCTTGTCCGCCTGTAGCCTCATCCAAGTAGCATCATCTACACCGGGATCCCGTTGCGCCTCATCATTTGTCTGGGTAAGCGATGAACTTTGTTTCAGTAACCCTTCGCTGTCTTATGTAGTGTGACACTAACCTGAGATGAAACCGTGGTGTTTGGTGGAGATGGCCCACTCAGGCTGGAGGCAGGTTCGGGCCGCTGCCATGTTTGTTGACGAGATGGCTTGGAAGCAGGGGGATTTGGAGGAGCTTTATGAGACACATTCTGAGAGGTTGAAGGAGGAGGAGGTGCGATATTTCTCGACATAGCCATCTGTGGGATACCAGGGGTTGATGAAACTGTCTTGTCTGGTAAGTTGAGACGTTGTCGCTGCTCAGAGAGTTGATCTCTCATGATACGCAATGCGTCTTCTGATGAAACGACCAGTGAACTCCCTGGAGCTTTCCCAGCTGAGATGAACGCAGGGCGAGCCAACCGTTTCGCAATAGATTTTACGTCGCGCGCATTACCCCAGTTTTCGAGGCTCGACATATCAGTGATGATGTTGAGCATATCCTCGTACAGTGATGACGATGGATCAGACAGCCCTTGAACGGCGACCTTTGACCCACACAGATCTTTGTCAAGCAGTTCGAGGCATCGGGTTGGCGACATATTAGGCAGAATGAAATCCTCGGAAAACCGACTGGAAAGCCCAGGGTTTGCGCCCAAAAGTTGGTTCATCTCCTTCTCGTATCCTGCCAGGATGATGACCATCTTGCCCATGAACTTCTCGTTGGTCATCAGCCCTACAACTTCGTCAATGGCTTCCTGCGCAAAATGACCTTGGCTGAGTCGATAGGCTTCGTCCACAAAGAGGACTTTGCCGACGGCCTTCTCGAAAAGTTTCTTCGTCTTGGGACCTGTTTGGCCAACGTACTCGCCAACGAGATCCGACGCGGAACACTCTACTAGTTCTGTAGATGCGAGGAAGCCCATGTCATAATAGACTTGACCAAATTTCCTTGCGATGGTCGTCTTTCCAGTTCCTGAAGAGAAGGCATCAATGCGTGAACAACAACTTTGGATATTCGGATTTGATTACCAGGTGGTCCCTTGAAGATGAAGCTAGTAGGTATTTGCTTGCGCATATCCAGTCCCGATGCTTTCATCCCTTGCGCCATGTTCTGGTAATCTCCCAGCTTCTGAATGACAGCTTCGCATCCAACCATGTCTTCGAATAACTGAGCCAAGTTTGCTGCAGCGTGCTGATCACGATCCCAATTAGGATCGAAGTCTTCTGGTTCGAAGACGATGTCCTGAGACAGATGGGAAGGTTGCGATGCCTGCCGTTTGAGATATCGGTCTTTTGCAAAAGTCAGCATGTTTTCCACTTCCCCTCCGTTCCCAAAGTTCGGACGATTCTTTCTTCGGCTCAAAAGACCAAGCGCTATTTGCTTGGCTTTCTCTGTTGCACTGAGGTCTTGGTCGTTTAGCTTGCGTTCAAAAATCTCCTGTAGCTGAGGTTCAGTAAAGTCTTCAAACATGAACGCGTCCTCAATCGCAAAGCGCCGAGCAAAGCCGGGATTAACATCCTGATTCGTGTGTCAGAGTTGGCTTTTGATCATGAAGTCGTGCACTTGCCTTGAACATGTCTTCCATTTGCTCCTTGTATCCCAATAACAAGACACAACGATCATCCCCCGGTACGTTCTGTATCTCCGCAACCATGGTATCAATGACACCGGTCTTATAGGGGTCCTGGGCACCGCCATTCTTACTGTGCAGCATGTATGCCTAGCGGGGCGTTGAGAATCACAAGTTGAAGGCGGACATATATACTCACCTCGTCAATGACTAGAACCTTTCCGACAGTACTCTCCAAGATGGCCTTAGTGTTCTGTTCAGATTGGCCGAGGTGTTGGCCGGTAAAATCTGAAGGGTTCTTCACCACAACTAAAGACGGCAATCAGGTAATGATCCTCAAAGATTCTTCAGCAGAATTACAAACCTTCACCGTTACTGAGAAGCCCTAGGTCTGCCAGTGCTTGACCATAGAGTTTGGCGACAGTGGTCTTGCCAGTGCCTGGGGAGCCCAAGAAAACCCGGTTCAGACCCATATTGAGAGGCTGCTTTTCTGCCAACTCGCGATGATAGTTCGCCCTAATAAGGTTGAATAGGTTGTTGACAGATTGCTTCACGGATTCAAGACCAGTGAGTTTTTGCAACTTTATCCACGAAGGGCAGTGCGGAAGAACTGAGTCTGGATTGGGACCAATAAGATCTTCCTTAACGAGCAAGAAATCGTCCGGTAATGATCCGTTTTTGCGTTCTTTTCCTACCCTTGCAGCCTGTCGTTGACGTATCTGTGCAAACATGTTTTGCAGTGCACGGGCATTGCCAAACCCTTCGCGGCCACGACCACGGCCCAGGCGTCGGACTGCGATTCGGCCATAAAGACCCTGGATGCCGTCTTCGACCTTCATCCTGCCTCCATACTGTTTCTCCACCATATCAGCAAGCATATCAAGGAGCTCTTCGTCGGTGTAGTCCTCGAATGTGAATCTATGTGGCACACGACTCGGAAGGCCTGGGTTGTGACTGAAGAATTTCTCCATCTGACGGCTGTAGCCGGCAAGGATGAAAACAAGGCTTCCAACGCGGTTCTCCATCTCTGCTAACAGGAAGTCCAGAACATCGGTACCAGACCCACCCTGTGCGCTAACTAGCTGATAGGCCTCATCGATGAATATGGCGCCCCCACCGACTTTCATAACGTCCTCGATGAGCTTCTTTGCACCACCGACGCCATCATGTGCCAGGCTCGCTCCTGTGGTTTCCTTGAATGCGTTTCCTGGGAGTACTTGTATCGATTCGAGAAACTGGGCATATAGCCTTGCGACCGTTGTTTTCCCTGTAGAAAATTTTAAATTAGCGCAAGAAAATTACACGAAGAAGGGTTCCTACCTGTCCCTGGATTTCCCAAGAGCGCAAGATTCAGACGCTCCTTGTTGGCAGGCGTTCCTTGACGTTTCATCAAGTCTAGCTTCTCCTTGGTTTGTAGAACTTGCGACTTCACTCCTTCCAGTCCAGTCATCGCCATAATACTATCAATTGCGTCATTTTGCTCGCCCATGAGCCTCTTCTGCGATTCCCAGTCGTCGCGAGCAGCAGAACTTTTTTGGCTACCAGAAGGTTGCGAAGGAGCAGATGAAGGATGTGGGGATTGCTGTGAGGGAGAGGTCGTTGGTTTGGATGCGTCTGTACTGCCGTCTTTCGAGGAACCTGCTGTTTTCTGTGCGCGAACTTTTGCCTCTTGGATCTCTCGTTCCTTCTGCTTGAGCATAGCCTCTCTTTGCTTCGCAGTATTGACATCCGCAATAATTTCAACCTCGGCTTTAAGTCGCGCATCCATTTCAGCCATTTGGGTATCATGAGCAGCTTGCTCGGCATCACGTTTTTCCTGGAGTATTGCATCATGCAGTAACTGCTTTGTAGTGCGCTCCGCATCCTTCTCGCATGGAGTGCATTTTAGGGAAGGCCCTTTATGACACTTCCACGAAACTTTGTGGACGCCCGCACCACACTTCCCAAATAACGGCTGTTGGCAAGGTACTTTGGAGTGATCAGAAAGTTGATGGCACTTTGAAGGACAAGGGTGCACGTTGCAACTGAGAATGGTGCCACTAAAGGACCAACGTCAGCGAGATGCACCGAACATTGTTGAAAGGACACTCACCAAGGTTCCGCACAACCTCCATCTGGACATTGATCGTCGAAATCATTAGCATCTCGCAGAATAGCCTTCCGCGCAGGATGGCGCTCGCACTTAACGGGGAACCCTTCATAGATGTGTGATGCCTGTCTGAGAAGATCGAATAGACGATTCCAAAGGAGCGATTTGCTCTCGAACGTGTTCATATTGCCGATGAGAATGAAACCGTCACGGGCCCGAGACAAGAGGACGTTCAAACGTTCAGGGGACTTCATGAAGCCGATAGCGCCATCAGGATTCGATCGTGTCAAACTAGCAACCACGATATCACTTTCCTCTCCCTGGTAATTGTCTGCTCCAGTCAGTCAAACGTCAGGTATTCGTTCTAATGGAATTCATACCTATAGTAGCGAGCCTTATCTTCCTTTTGGATGACTTTGCAGCGTCGGGAGAGAGTAGCCCCGCACGGACCAAGTCATAAGAATCGAGGTCGTTTAACACTGGGTCATTGTCTGCCTTGAGGGCTTCCCGAAGTTTGGAGAGCTGTCCGAGATAAGGTGTTAGGATGACAATATTATCTGTCCCATAGCCTTGTTGAGCGAGGTACCGGACGATCTTCAGAACCATGCCAGCTTCGTAAGAGTTTTGTTTTGAAGTCATGGAACCAAGATCGCTGCGATCGCTGACTCTGCCCTCATTGTCCTCAGGATGTGCATGGTTGACGAAAATGATGTTATCTTGGATGCCACGAATATCAGCTCGGCCGCGAGTGCTGGCAGCATCGGTGAGTTCGGGGTATGTGAGTTCGCGCACGAGTGCAGATATTTCAGGCCGCATACGATGTTGCTGGGTGAGAGTAGCATGAGGGAATCCTTTTAGAACAAGGCGCTCGAAAAGCGACCTGTTCAAGTCGTATCCTTGGTCACTCTCAACCTGCAGGGGATAACTATTGATTTTCGGTCTCAATTGCCTAAATTCATAACTCAGAATGAGGCGCTAAAGGTAGTGATTGAAAGCATGCTTACTTGTGGTCTCCAACAAGGATCAGCTGATTTGTGTTTGCGCCAAGAGCAGTCAGAATATGGCTCTCCAAAATCTCTCCAGCCTCCTCTACAAGGACAACGTCGGGAGCGGCAGTTCGAAGGTCTTCACTAAATTTCGCAGCCCCTGTTGTAGTGCATGCAATGATCCTTTTCTCCTTGAGTGTTGCGACCAACGACTCGCCGAACTTCCGAGTGAGGTCTATCTGACAGCTATTGTATTCTCTGCCAACGGTGCCAATATCGTCTACCATCTGCTTCTGAAGTTCGTTCTTCCACTTCGCCAACAAGCTCTGACGGACAGGCAAGGGGGTAGTCCAAATCCGAGCCGATTCTTCCGTCTTCAGGTGAGCCGCATTTTTGAAGATACCCGCATCACGGCCTCTTTCCCATAGTGCGATTAGATATGTTGGGTCAATCTCCCGACCTCTGCGGCCTACAACGGCCATGCCATCATCTGAGCTGGGAACGCGAAACGCTTCAAAATGAGCCTCATCCTCGAATTCGATATGCGTTAAAATATCCTCGTAGCCAATCCTATTTCTCATGAACTCTACAACAGAGCTGTCAAGGCGACCGCAGAGATATTTGAGTCTGTTCTTGAATTCATCGATCATCGTCCAATCTGCTTTAGTCCGTGAGGGCTGGGACGTTCTCTGACTGGGATTGAAGAGGTTGAGATGCGCCAGCTGCGGTTTGGCTCTGCCCCCAAGTCGAACCATATTGTTATCAGGAATGCCGATTTTGCGAAGATCTTCTAAAAACTGGTCCAGAGCATGGTTAGTATAACAGACAACGAGAATTGTCTGATCGGTGAAGTCGTGAAGAGCTTTGGCTAAGAGGGCGCCCACAAACGACTTTCCGGTCCCTGACCCGCCACATAAGCATTGACTTAGCATCCAGCGTCAAAGAACATACCTGGAGGGCCCTGTATCAAAGACACCCTCTGAGTCAGGCCAGAAAGAATAGACGAGGCTTGCGAACGATCTAAGTGTATGGGGTCTGGAGTCTGAAGCAAGTGTTGCAAGTTTCCAGAGTGGTTGGCTTCGATAGCCGTAATAACATGATCAGCCATTTGCGGAGGGTTCTGCAGAGTAACACCACGCTTCCAGAACAGTAGTTCATCTGATACTGAGATGTACTGCGTTTTCTGCAATGCCTTGAGCACCGGCTCAAAAGCAAAAAGAGCAGTGTCAATCTGGAGGAGCTTCGCGTCTTTGGCATTGCGGAGCTGGAGAATGGTTCTGCTTGTACTCGCCCGCCCGTCCAGTTGAATAACGATAACAGGAGGGCTGCGGATCAAGAGATCTTCCACTCGATTCACAGTGCCAAAGCCGACCACTTCCTTATCAACCACCACACAGACGAGTGATTGATGACGAAGGATCTTGGAGCCAGCATGATCATCTGTGAGATACGCTTTCCTATCCTTCAGGGGAATGCGCTTCAGAGATGGCAGGTCGTCGACACACTCTAATGTTATTCCCCACAACATCTTCCGGTCATCAGTGCCATGATAAACGCCTTTGAGTATAACACCATCTATCAGGTTGGCGCGGTGGCGCTTGACGTTCTTTCCTTCTAGCGCTTGAAGTTCCTCTCTCATCTCTGCTATCATGTCTTCGCGAAGAAGACGAAATGTATTATCGAGGTAATCCGCGGTACGAGTGCTTTCTCCAGATTCATCTTCCAGTTCCGAGCTATGGCGCAAGAATGGTAGCTGTTTAGATCTGATCTCGTCTGCTGTGGGAAGGATAGCAATGTCGCGAAAATTGACAAGATCATTGTCATGTCGTCCGCCTGGGCCATTGACAGCCGATGGAGGGGTTGAGGAGCCATATGTCGAAAGGATATGCTTGATCTTCTCTCCAATAAGCCGGACTTCCAAGTTTGCAGAACTTGTAAGTTTTGGGAGCACAGTTGGCCTGCCAGCTAGTTCGAGATAAGGTGTTGTGTCGTGGTTGGAAAGGTTCAACAGCCGAAGGAGGAGGCCAGCAAACGCATGTTGAGCCTTTTCGAGTAGCTCTCCACGAGTAAAAGCGTGGCTAAACGCCGACCAGAAGAAATCTGGTTCGACTATCTGGACAAGCAGGTGATCCAGCACATTACTGCTGATGCTTGTGGCCTGGAGGAGATATACAAGAACGTTAGCACCAATGCCATTCATAAACTCTACCGACAAGTCCAGTCGCATCGCCTCCTGGACAATAGAGGGTCCTTTTGATTCTCCCACTATCTTATTTACGCATAACGCAACATCCGGTTGGGAGCATATGGAATCGAGAAATAAGTGACAGTTTCGTGGCTCGATAGGGACTTTGCCCTTGAGAACATCATAGAACCGTTTGTTCAATAATGCAGCTCGTCGATCAGACATATTCTGGGTGTCCTTCAGCGGCAACAGCGGTGTTGATGGTAGTGTGGAGAAAAAATACGTTCGAGATTGTGTGGTAATAGAAAGGTCTGATAGGTTGAACTTTGAGGGTTAGACTCGGAAGTGCACGTGTGATCGAAGGACAACAAACAGGATCTGCGCAAGCACCAGTTAGCACTAGTATGTGTTGGCGAATCCTGGATCCTTCACATGATGATAAGAGAGCGCCCAAGAAGATCCGAGCCCGTCGGCCTGTGGAACCCTAGAATTTGATCGATAAGGCTTCCGAATCGTCGCGACGGTATCATATTATTATGTGACCTATGGCTGAGGTGTAGTACTCCAGCTAGCGCTCAGCGCTCATTTCTTAACAAGGTTTTCAAGTTGTCCCAACGCCTGCATCATGATTGATGATTATAAATAGCCAATGCACTCGTTTGAACATCTAGGTTCTAGTTGAACGTTAACGTTGAACGTGTGTCATGGACGGATGCTGATTCGAAGCACAGGTTTCAAGTGCTCAGACCTAGTTGTTACTGGGGGAAGTACACTGTGTCCCGATTCCTGTCTGATCGCTATTAATTGTATTTATTCAAACCAGGCCGCCAGCCTATACGAACTTTGGAATGCGAACAGAACTCACAGTGAGTGTAATGACAGTGTAATCATTGGACTTGATGCATGATGCTTTGTGATTGCAGTACCACGCTAAGCTCCAGCTATTGTGAATTTCTGATCGCATTGAGCATGAGATATGTTTTTGTGTTGACGACATGTCTGCAAAAAGTAGTAGCTTCGACAGTTCGACTCAGTGTGACAGTCACACGAAATTCGTCATTACTCTAGTCTAAAACACAATCATCTAAAGAAAATGCTACCGTACGTAGAATCGACAGTGCACGGAACTACTAGCGCAGCTGGAAGTCGGGAATAAAATGGAATCCGCCCGCACAACGGTAACCAGATGCTTGTTTGATCCATGCGTAGCCTTGTACGCAGACACCTAGATTTCTCAACTTCTGTTGTATCCTCTCTTCTTCGCGTTTCTTCTTCTCTTCCTCCCGACGCATCTGGAAGAGTGCAGCAGCAGCTCTCTCCCTTTCTGCCTTTGCCTCCGCCTCTCGAATTCGAGCCGCTTCCTGCTGGCGCCTGAGTTCTTCCCACTCAGCCTGGTCTCGTGCCCTTTGCTGAGCAAGGGCCCGAGCTGCAGCCTCCGCAGCTTGCTGTCTTTGAGCGGCTCTACTCAATTCAGCATCACGCCTCTTGATCTCCTCGATCGCTTTCTTTTTTGCCTCCTCCGCCGCTGCTTTATCGGCCTCCAACTGCCTCCAGACAGCGTTGGCAACTCCTAGGTCACGCCGAACATCATTGGTAGACTGGGGCCGTGGTGTGCTTTGAACCGGTGACTGCGTGTTTTTCCCTCGCCGATCTGGAGTCGGCGGGATACTGCCTTTCGAAAGAATGGGAGAGGCAGTTTTGGCATCTGAAATAGAGAAAGGAGGAAGACTGTTTGAGCTGGATGGTGCGGGCGATGCCTGCTGGGAACCTCTGGGCTGTCTTGAGCGACGAGAAGTCGCTTGTGGAGTGACCTTTGCAGTAGACGAGGGAGTTGATGATCGGGGAGGTGGAACTTTCGGATGCGATGTGGTAGATGGTGCGTTGGAGCGTGAAGGTGGCTTATTAGGCGGTTGGGATCCGCCGGGTGTAGAGGGTGGCCCTGATTTCGGAGGAGGCCTTGGCGGCGACTGGTTGGATGAAGAGCTCTTTTGGGAAGGTGGTTTAGGTGGTTGAGATCCATTGGTTGCGGAAGAAGAACCTGATTGGGAAGGGGGCGGAGGAGGGGCGGAATTGCTGGACGATGCCACCGGCAGTTGGGTTGACGGGGGTGAAGTGGTTATACGTGGAATATTCAGTCGCTGGCGTTGCTGATTGAGTAGGTCTTTCATGATAGCTATCGCCTCGTCTGCAGTGAGTGATGGGGTACTCCCAGGAGTGTTTGCCACAGTATTGAATGCGTGATGGATGAGTCTCTGGGCAATAGTCTTGATGTCTCGGGCATTTCCCCAGTTCGACAAGCGTGACATTCGCTCGACAATAATCTCCATCTCGGAGTAAGGAGAAGAAGTGGTGTCGGCTAGCTCGGACAAGATGATCTGCGTCTTCTGCAATTCCTTGTCGAGCACTTGAAGACACTTGGCCGCCGTCATGTTGGTCAAAGTGATTTCTTCAGAGAAACGACTGGCGAGACCCGGATTAACACTCAAAAGAGCGTTCATTTCTTTCTCATAACCTGCAAGAACGATGACCATCTTGTTCATGAACTTCTCGTTGGTCATGAGGCCAACAACTTCATCAATAGCTTCTTGCGCAAAATGCCCGTTGCTAAGTCGGTACGCTTCATCCACGAAAAGTACTTTGCCCAAGGCCTTTTCGAAAAGTTTCTTCGTCTTGGGGCCGGTCTGACCCACGTATTGCCCTACGAGGTCGGAAGCGGAACACTCGATAAGGTCAGACGAAGAAAGAAATCCCATGTCGTAATACACCTGACCAAACTTCCTCGCAATAGTTGTTTTGCCAGTACCTAGGGATAAGTAAAGCATCAACATTCCGCTCTAGATAAGAAATTGTTACTTACCTGGTGGTCCTTTGAAAATGAAACTCGTTGGAATTTGTTTCCGCATATCCACACCAGTAGCCTTCATCGCACGAGCAATTTTCTGATAGTTGCCCAGCTTTGTCACAATGTCATCACAACCAACAAGATCCTCAAAGAGTTTCGTCAGATTAGCTGCAGCATTGCGATCGCGATCCCAATCTGGATCGAAATCTTGAGGCTCGAAGATCACATCGGAACGTTGATCGGGAGGGACTGATGCTTGACGCTTCTGATAGCGGGATTTTGCCAGACCGAGCATGTTCTCCACCTCACCAGCATTGCCAAAGTTAGGGCGGTTCTTGGCTCTGTTCAGAAGATCACTAGCGACTTGTTTCGCTGAGTCAGTGGCCCCAAGGTCCTGATCCTTCAGCTTGAAGTCCAAGATATCCCGCAGTTGGGATTCAGTGAAGTCCTCGAAAGTGAATGCGTTTTCAATGGCAAACCTGCGAGAAAGCCCAGGGTTCACGTTCTGAGTAGACATATCAAATTTTACACCCGGTAATTCAAGCGAACTTTTGAACGTACCTGGAACATTTCCTCCATCTGTTCCTTGTATCCCAATAACAAGACACAGCGGTCTTCTCCAGGTACACTTTGAATCTCTGCGACCAAGGTGTCGATTACAGTCGTTTTAAATTGGTCTTGGGATCCAGAATTCTTGCTATACAGCATGTAAGCCTGTCAGATGAGGTCAATATTAATACCAGCTAGAATCTGGGATCGCATACCTCGTCTATAACTAAGACTTTACCAACAGTACTATCCAAGATAGCTTTGGTGTTCTTCTCTGAGTGACCAAGGTATGCGCCCACAAAATCAGATGGATTCTTGACGACGACTGATAGAATGTCATCAGTCAACGGGCAGACAACAACACAAGTATGGATTATCACCTTCATTGTTGCTCAAGAGTCCTAGTTCTGCGAGTATTTGTCCATAGAGCTTCGCAACTGTCGTTTTGCCGGTTCCTGGAGAGCCAAGAAAGACGCGGTTCAAAGACATCGCAAGAGGCTCTTTCTCTTGAAGCTCTCGATGATAGTTTGTGTCAACAATATCAAAGAAATTACGAACAGAGTCTTTCACGGAACCAAGGCCTATCATTTTCTGTAGCTTCTCCCAAGGAGCGCACTGCGGAAGGACCTGGGATGGGTCAGGACCGATGAAGTCCTCTTTGGCGATTAGAAAATCATCTGCGATCCACCCCTGCTGGCGTTGCTTCTTAAGTCGTTCGGCTAGTCTCTGGGCGACCTTCGCAAACATATTTTGTAATGCCCGAGCGTTTCCGAACCCCTCGCGACCACGACCGCGTCCAAGTCGACGCACTGCAATTCGAGCATATAAGCCCCTGATACCATCTTCCACCTTCATCTGTCCCGAATATCGTTTCTCAACGAGTGCTTCCAGCATCGTTAGAAGCTCCGGGTCGGTGTAGTCTGCAAACTTGAGAGTATACGGAACACGACTGGGAAGGCCAGGGTTGTGCTCAAAGAATTTCTCCATCTGCTTGCTGTACCCCGCGAGAATGAAGACTAGAGTACCCACTTGGTTCTCCATTTCAGCAAGGAGAAAGTCCAGCACCTGACCTCCTGTATGCTGGTGTTCGCTGACGAGCTGGTATGCTTCATCGATGAAAATAGCGCCTCCTCCAACCTTCATGGCGTCTGCTATGAGCTTTTTTGCTCCACCCACCCCTTCATGCGCCAGACTCGAACCCGTCGTTTCAATGAACGCATCGCCTGGGAGAACTTGAACTGATTCAAGGAATTGCGCATACAATCTTGCGACTGTGGTTTTTCCTGGAGGGATGTGAGTGGCTCATTCACTAAAAACCTCGACCATTACTCACCAGTTCCTGGATTGCCGAGCAAGACCAGATTGAGACGCTCCTTGTTTAGAGGGACGCCTTGCCGTTTCATCAAGTCAATGTGGGCCTTGATACGGAGCACTTGGGCTTTCACATCCTCGAGCCCTGTCAACTCCATGATACCATCGATGGCGCTATTTTTCTCTCCATTGACTTGCTTCTGATGCAACCAATCCTGATGGGCAGCCGACGTAGGTACTGCATTCATCGGGGACGTCGAGTAAGGTCCAGGTTGTTGAGGCTTCGATTGCTTAGAATTCGAAGGAGTCTGGGTAGTTGGAGGTTTCGTTTTTGGTGGTGGGTTCAGCGACGGCGGCGATAATGGAGGAGTAGCGTTTGGCGGAGGTACGTTTGATTGCGCATTGGATGGAGGTGTGGGAGGTAGGGGATTTGTCGTCCTGGATGACGAAGCAGAATGGGCGGCATCAGCATGCGCCTGCGCATTTGCAGCTGCCTTCAGTGCATTGGCTCTGGCTGCCTCGATATCTTTGATTTTCTGCCTCATGGCATTTGCTCGCTGCTGCGCGACCTGGGCATCAGCTACAGCATCCATTTCCGCCTTCAACTCAGCATTCAGCTCAGCCATTTGTAATTCGTGCTCCAACCGCTCCTGTTCGCGTTGTATTTGACGTTGCAGTTCCTCTTCCTCCAGTTTCTGCTTCAGTTCGAGTTCGCGTTTTCGCTTCTCCTCGGCACGTTCGGCTTCCTTGACACAAAACGGACAAGGGTCTGGCTTTGACTGATGGCACTTCCATTTCAACTTGTGGTTGACAGGACACGTGTCCGAGTACGGGTGTTGACACGGCATTTGGGAATGGTCTGCGATTTGATGACATTTAAGTGGACAAGGATGGATGCCGCAGTTCAGCATGGTATTACTAGAGATAGTGTGAGCGAGAACAGTGTTAACAATTTCCAAATACTTACCATATCTCTGTGCATCCACCGTCGGGACAGAGAGTATCGAATTCGGACGCAGATTTAATCAGGACAGTTCGATTCGGGTGTCGTTCACATTTGATCGGGAAACCTTCGTACATGTGGTCGCCTTCTTTGACGAGCTTGAAAAAATTCCCCCATAGCTCCTTGCCCTTCCTCGCATTCATAAATGTCTGCGAGTTCCCGATCAGGATGAGTCCATCTCGAGCCCGGGAGATAAGCACGTTCAGACGTTCGGGGGAGTTCATGAAGCCGATGTCGTTGGATTTATTGGACCTCGTCAGACTGGCGATGACGATATCACTCTCTTCACCCTGATAATTATCTATTCAAACAATGTTAAATGTGCGCTATGAGTCGAGTAGCAGATCCATACCTATCGTGGCAAGCCTGATGCGCTTCTTGGACGTGTTGTCAGCTGCGGACATAAGTCCGGCACGGATGAGATCATGTGAGTCGAGGTCATTGAGCACAGGGTCATTGTCCCTCTTTAGGACATCTCGAAGCCTCGAAAGCTGCCCAAGGTAGGGTGTGAGAACGACTAGCCTCTCCGTCCCATAGCCTTGCTGAGCGAGGTAGCGTACGATCTTCCAAACCATTTCTACTTCATAGGTGTTCTGTTTTGACCCAGACGAAGCCCCATCACCTTTGTCTGAGATACGAGAGTCGTCATCCTCAGGATGAGTGTGGTCAATGAAGATGACGTTGTTCTGAATACCGCGAATGTTGTCACGGCCTTGGGTCTTGGCAGCATCCGTGAGGTCAGGGTACGTAATTTTCCTGATAAATGCTGAAATTTCTGGACGCATACGATGTTGGGCTGTCAGAGTTTCATGAGGAAAGCCTTTGAGAACCAGGCGCTCGAATAGTGATCTGTTGAGCTCAAACCCATCACCCTTTTCAACAGTCAGCTTGTAGTTGTTGACTTTGGGGCGCAGTTGCCTGTAAGGAGTCAACTTCAGGGAGATGTACTGGAAATCACTAATGATTCACGTACTTGTGGTCACCAATGAGAATCATCTGGCTTGTGGTCTCACCCATCGCGGTTAGGACGTGGCTTTCTAGGATCTCACCAGCCTCTTCAACGAGAAGGACATCAGGATTCGCCGCACGAATGTCCTGCGCAAACATAGCTGCTCCAGTCGTTGTGCATCCGATGATTCTCTTTCCCATGAGGGTTGCCACCCTGGCTTCCCCGAACTTGCGTGTCAGTTGATCTTGGCATCCGTTGTAGTTTGTGCCAAGTGTGCAAATCTCCTCGAGGATTAATTTGCGTATCTCTGACTTCCATCTCTCTATCACGTCCCGGCGAGCATCTGGAGGCATTTTCCAAATATCTTGAGCCTCACGTACATTGGGCTCGGCTTTGAACTGCCCAGCGTCGAATCCTCTGGCCCATCGAAAGATGAGTTCCTCAGTATCGACAGCTTTGCCGTCCTTGCCGACACGAGTCATTCCCGAAGTGTCGTATTCAGATACGTGGAATGCGTTGAAGTAGGTCGGTTCTTCGAATTCGATATACGTGAGGATGTCCGTGAAACTAATCTTCGAAGCTATGAACCTATCCATAGCGGTCTCTAGAGCTTTGCAGTGAAACGTCGACGACTTTTTCAAGTCGTCAATAATAGTCCAATCAGCTTTGGATCGAATGAAACGCTCTTTCTTCTGGCCCGCAATGCCAAGATGAGCGACCTGCGCATTTGGTCTGCCGCCGAGGCGGACCATGCTAATGTCCGGAATCCCAATCTTCATGAGATCTTCCAGGAATTGATCTAGGGCATGGTTCGTATAGCAGACTACAAGGATTTTCTGCTCGGTGTGATCGTAGATGGCCTTCGCTAGCAGCGCGCCAATGAACGATTTTCCAGTCCCTTTGGGATGTCAACAAAACAGATATGAGTGAGTGGCTGATGAACACTACCTGGAGGGCCTTGGATAAGGGAAAGCCTCTGCGTAAGTCCAGCCAATAGCGATGCCGCCTGCGACTTATCAAGGACAATACTAGATGAAAGCCCTAGAAGCTGCTTCAAATCCATGGACGGATTCATAGCAAGTGGACGCGTAACCTGAGCCGCGGTCACCGCAGCGCTACCGATGGTGTTCCCGTCTTTCCAGAATAGGAGCTCCTCCGACAGCGGAAGGACTTGCGTCCTCTGCAGAGCCTTCAAGACCGGCTCGAATGCAAAGAGGGCAGTGTCAATCTGAACGAGCCGGATGGCATTGGATGATTGCAACTGAAAGAGTGTTTTTGTGATGCTAGCCTCCCCTTCTAGCTGAAGTACAACGACAGGTGGTTTCTGCGCAAGAAGTGCCTCGACGCGATTGACGCTTGCGAGACTGATTGCTTTATTTCCCGAAAGTATGCATACGAGAGACTGATGTTTGAGAATTCTAACGCCCGCTGGATCTTTTTCGAGAAAAGTCTTGCGCTGCTTGTCGGGGACATTCTTCATCGACTTGAAATCATCTTGGCATTTGAGTTTGATGCCCCACCGAGTTTTTCTATCATCCGCACCGCTGTAAACGCCGTCGAGTGTGACACCGTCGATGGTGACCCCACGGTGACGGCCTTTCTTCTGCCCTATAGCGGTCTGGAGCTCTTCTCTTATCTCATATAACATGTCTTCGCGCAGCAAGCGGAAGGTATTATCCAGGTAGTCAGCTGTACGAGTTGCCTCGCCATCAGGATCCTCCAATACGCTGCTCGGGCGAATGAAAGGAGGCTGCTGGCAGAGAATCTCGTCTGCAGTTGGAAGAATGGAGATCTCCCTGAAGTCGTTGAAATCATTATCATGGCGACCACCAGGTCCCCCGACTGCAGTGACAGGTGTACCAGAATTGAATGTGGAAAGGATGTGTTGGATACGGTAGCCAATGTCTTTGACTTTCCATTGCGATGAGTCGAGAAGCTTCGTAAGAATACTAGACTTCTTTGCGATGTCACGATAACACGAGGTATTCCCCGTAGTGAGGCACATGAGGCGAAGGAGGAGTGCCGCGAATGCTTCCTGGGCTGGCTCATCGAGATCACCTTGATCAAATGCTTGGGTAAAGGCAGTCCAAAAAATGGGAGGATCAACTATGGCGATGAGTAAGTGATCCAAGACGTCACCGAGGTCTGTTGCTCGGAAGAGATATAGCAGAAGCTTGGTTGCAGGACCATTGAGGAACTGGGAGTTAGTATTGTGACGCATGGCAGCCTGAACTGCGGTTGAGCCTTGGGAGCTCTCAACGATTTTGTGGATGCAGGCTGCAGGGTCTTGCTGTACACAAATCGCTTCCAAAAAGTGAGCGTAGTTTTGTGCATTTGCAGGAACTCTGCCTTTGAGAATGTCGTTAAAACGTTTCTCAAGTTGAGCTTCACGATTCATGAGAAGCAAGCTAGTAAGTGATTATGACTCGTTGTAGGTTGTGGGTAGTAGCTGAGTGTTGAGAGCAAAATTGCGGGCGTTCGTACGTGGGTACTGGGCCTACTAATCTAATTATAGGGCCACTTTATTGGCAGTGCCACAAACCTAATGAATAGTAAGCACTGTACAGTCTTTTGAATGTACGCGAGTCAATTGGCACACGAGATCCAGGGATCTACGCACCATTGGCAATTTGGCGAGTCTGAATGTTGTTCGCAAATGATGCATATAAAACGCAAATCCGAGTACTATTAGAACAGGAAATGCAGTTAATTATGAATTCAGCGCTTAGCTGGGCTCATAGTAGTACACACCATCATGTATCAGCCCTGGCTAATCGTGATATGACCATCCATTGGTGAACGAAAACCCTGCAATGAGAATGCTAGGATGTCGCCTATCACTGCGCAGAGGAGCGGTGGGTGACATTCCTGCAGATAATTTACTATCAGAGCTGATGGAAAATTGAACTTCATCAGCGCCAACTTCGATGCCGTCTCAGCGAACGTAGAACTTGCACTTGCAGAGCCACTATATCAGTGAGTTGTACTTCTTGTGGATGTATATGATCAATGGACGAGAAATTCATCTTTTGAAATACAGATCTCAGAAAGGTCAATCATGACATATGATATGATAATCCAATTCCTCGGTCTCACTAATATTATTGATAGATCATACCGCTTCATATGTTTTGTTCGTTCAAGAAAATCACTCATAGCATCGATTGCAAAGCTAGTCATACCCTGTCATAGGGCCGTATCTCGGACCTTTGCTACCGAGTACTATTTTTGACATGTTCGAGGACTGAGACCCATGACCTGATGGACGCTTGGTCTTACAGTTATAATCTCAGGTTGCAGACACGATTCCCAGCATTGACTTACATCTCTGGCTACCATGTCTAAAGGGGTCGCTCTAATCACCGGTGCTGGTCAAGGCATTGGCCGTTCCATTTCTCTTAGGCTGGCCGCTGATGGCTTCGACATTGGACTCAGTGATATTCCTACCAACAAGTCGAACCTCGAGGAAGTCGCACGGGAGATAACGAGGACTTATGCAGGACGAAGGGCCTGCGTACTTCTTGCAGATGTCACAGTCGAAGATGACGTTCGTAAGATGATGGACGGCGTTGTGACAGAGCTTGGTGGTCTGGATGTCGTGAGTATAGATGCCATAGCATCGATTTATTCTCACCATTGATGCCACTTTTGAGATGGTCGCAAATGCCGGTATCATTGCAGTCGCATCATTGGTAGAAAGTAAGAAATTTAGCTCTGTAAATTATATCTGCAACGTCGTACTGACTTTGCTTGACTAGCTACATTGGCAGACTGGGAAAAGATCTTTGCTGTCAATGTCACGGGCGTGTTTTTAAGCTACAAATACGCCGCTCGAAAGATGATTGCCTTGAATGAGACCCACAAACGAGGTCGACGCATCATCGGCGCCAGCTCCCTAGTAGGGAAAAGAGGTGTGTGTGTCCATTCGTAGGTTTTAACGCTAATACATTCTTTCGCACAGGTGAACAATACCTTAGCGCGTATTCTGCTTCCAAGTTTGCAGTCCGAGGGATTACGCAGTCTGCTGGTATGGTGTCTATCTACATTGCGTTCCGACAATCTTGACAAGTGATCATATGTCAGCTATCGAACTCGGATGCCACGGTATCACCGTGAATGCCTATGCTCCAGGACCAATCATGACGGCTATGGGTGAGTAAAGCCATAAACAAGATATCTCGTGATGCAAGCTGAGCTTCAAAGTCGACGAACTAAATGAGGCAAGCATGAAGCTGATGGGGTCATCTGACCCTAGTGTCTATAACGAAAAGGTAAGACAAGACAACAGGGCTGTTCTCATGACTTCGCTCAAGTTGTTTACTGCTTTTCTCGGTAGTCTAAGAAGAATACGTGTGTCGGGTATTTGGGGGCTCCAGACGACATTGCAGGACTGGTCTCTTACATTGCCTCTGCAGAATCTCATTTCATCACAGGTAAGTATAATAGAACCTTCTTTGCAGTCTGTCTTGCTCATGTGAAATAATCAACAGGGCAAAGTGTAAGTGCTACTCTGAGAGCCTGTGCACGAAGACTGACAACTGTGTAGATCACGATCGATGGTGGAATGCGCTTTGATTAAATCTTGCTGGTTGGTGTAGGGTTTATACCTTTACATACGCTAAAGCCTGCAGTTGTATCATCTCGTGTACAATAGCCTACTATAGGCAAGCTCTCGCTAACGTTCAGGAACATGCCAATGATATTACCTTGCATGTCGGGGTACCGCTTAAGTCAGGTCCGCACCACATCCTCCTTCAAGTTTTGCACAAAATGCTGTATGGAATATGCTGCGATATCTACAATTGGTCTGTAACACTGTCAAGTCTGTGACACTACGTAAAGTATCCATGGACGATGCAGGTAAGTACAGAGTCGATAAGTCCAAATAACCGCAGTCTACATATGAAAGCCACTCCACAAAGAGCCTGTTGTCCGTTTATTCAGCTAATTTTGATATGCGATTCAAGTCCATCGAAACCGTAAGTCCCAAGTCTCAGCTTGAACATTATTGTCTGTCTGGCACTCAGAGTCAGAGTCCAGACGCAGAAGAAACTTCCTGAAGAGGTAAATGTTCAGCTTGCATATCAGACATGCAACAGCATACATACCGATACACTCCGACACAATGCAACTACAAGCCACATACTGACGCATCCACTTGGGTTGCCGTAGCATCCACTCTTCCCAGCTCAACGGCCAGGCCACCAGTCAAGGTGTTCATGGCCGACTCTGAAACAGTGAAGCCGGTTTTGGATACGTCGACCGCGAGGATAGCAACAGATTTACCCCCGTATGTGACGTTATAGCAGGCCCCGCACGCAGCGGAATTCCACCCCGTCACGGTGTAGACACCGCCGACATTAGGGAATGTGGGAAGTGATCCAAGGGTCGCGTATCCCTTTGTCTCAAGCCCGTTGGCACCATCTGAACAAGCGACGCTGGAAAGGGAGAGGGTGGCGTCATCGTACGTGCTGTCATATGAAAGGGTTTCTGTCGTTTGTGCTAAAGCGGAAAGGACAAAGACGGAGACGGAGAACAGGACGGATGAAAATTTCATGATGCGCTTGTGAGGTGTATGAAGTGTGGTAGTGTAGCTGAGGAAGGAATGAGCTGAAAGTTGAGGCCCGAGGTGCAATTTGCTTTTTAAAAGTCGCCTTTCTTTATGCGTTTATGTTTCGACTTCTCCGTTGGATACATGCACCCTAAAACGTCAGTACATGTGGTCGTATAGTGTCTCGAGAGAATCGTCGCACTCGGGAAGTCATAACCGCATCATTTGGGTCATTAATTCGCGTTAGGAAGAGTAATAGTAAATGCAAGAATCAAATATACTCGCGAGTGTAATGAAAATATGGAAGACTGAGCTTCGGCGATTGATCATAATTTTCCGATCGGCATGGAAACCACTGTCTAGTCTGTAGATTCTACCCTGCCGATACTAGAACGTGTCTTATTGTTTAGCGGAAATGATGGAATCTGCATTGCCACACTCACTGACTGAAGGAACACGATGTAGAAAAAACACAGCTTGGCCGGCAATAGTGTGGCGCGAAAACCATAGAACTGGTGTCAATGAGACAGTTAAAAGAAGCGAGCCTGTCGGGTAAATTAGTCACAGACCTACTGAGGTGGCGGGAGCCTGAGTGACAGTCAGAGAAGCAAGGCCTAGTAGCCAGATGTATACAAGCATACGGAACAACCTGGTAGCACCCGGGGCTGGCCTTGTATACATTGGGAACAGGCTTTTACAGCCCTCCGGGCACTTGGACCCGACAAAGTATATATCATGAGAGAATTTGCACACGCAAGAGACTAATCCCCTATATTTTTTGCAAGTGAATGAGCAGCACTATATCCATGCAGAGAACGGCGAGTGCGAGAAGGCGGCCCTGCGCACACCTGTCATGAGCTGGCGCTTCTCATGATGATTCTTGTTGATAAGAGGTCTGTCAACCAGTGCTAATTTCCGGGCGCTCCTTTCTATCCGAAATCAAGCTTAAGCTTGATTGTTGGCTATTTGGTAGCGTATAGAGCCGCGTGTATAGATGGTGATCGAGTGCTAACCTGAAGGATCTAAGTGCAAGGCTATGATGGAAAGTTCGGAAGCAATGGAGCAAGGCGTGGGCTGGACGTTGTCGTGCCGATGGTAGCCTCCCTTAGACCGAGCTGATGACGGACGTTTAACTTCCTTCTAATGTGTTGGGAGGTTTGAAGGGATGGAGTAAGGATGACGCGTACGAAGATGAAGGTACTCACAGTACATCATGTACACATGAACTTTCAACAACAAACATGGTCTCTGCGACCTCGGCTCAGTGGCTGACAAAGTGACAGGCATCCCGATTAAATCCCGAGAATTTGCCAATGTCGGATGGCACCAACATCAGCTCGAGGTAGCCAGCTCCTGTTTCAAACGTTACCAGAGAGAATATGTGTGGTGTGTTTGACTTGCATAAGAAGCAAAAGGCAGTAGTCAATGCAAAATATCAAAAGTAAACTTGAACGCGTCCAGGTGCTGTTACAAGTGAAATATGATCATGGGAATATCATACGAAAGAGGGTGATAATGAAAGACTGACGATAGCACAAAAGATGCTTGAGACATATGATTCCTACCAATCCGTGCATGCGACGTGTGTTGATGATGATTGCATGTAGAATGCAGTGCGTATCTCCGAGCCGTTGTCGTTGTCCAACTTGAACACATCTCCAATGCGGTAAAATCATTTCCCAGGAAGTTAGCGCCTAGAGGCTATGTAGATGCCAAATGAGCATGTTCGGCTCGCGGAGATAGTTTTACAACACCATGAATACCACCATTCTGCCCACCTTTATTGTACCCATTAACCAGTCGAATTTCAATCTCAATACATCTAACGTTGCTGGATTCCTTGGTGGCGATGAAGTTATCGCTGCAATGGCTACTGTGCATCTCTATCGTGGGAGGCGCTGGCTAGGCTGGTATAATTCACCAGGAAGCTATACCGTCGCCAAAAAGTTCGGGCAGCTTTCAAGCTCAAGATTCTGGGATGGTCTTTTCCCTGGCCCAAATCTCACACCCGCAGAGGTATTTGGGCTAGATGGAAAACCTGGCCCTCGTTATTGGGGTGTTTTCTCGGGTACAGAGATGATCACTGGTCACCTGGCGTACCTCATGGTACAGAGGTCGAAAGAAGTTGAGCCAGAGGCGGAAGTGCAAGGGAGGGAGACTACACCTCTGTCCGTCACCATCGTCGATGTCGGAGACGCAGACGTGAAGCACTTGGACCGGGCGCCTATGATGAGCATCCATCATGCTCTCTTGGCTGCTATTCCCATTACCATCAGTCTCGCGACGTGCATTGCTTCTGCTGCTTCAGGAGATTGGCTAGCATTTTCCCTCATCATGTTAGGAATCATTTCAAGTGGCGTATCTTGCCTTGTCATGGGCACTGCTCAAGTCGAATTTGCTTCCGTTAAGGAAGCCGCTCCGGGTGTGCCGCCTGCAGACGGGATACTCCTCATGCGAACCGATGTAGTCATCCTCAGAGGTGCAGAGAAAGACATCGATCCAATAACCAAAGGGAAATTTGATTTGAAAATCCCTGGTGGCCCAGAGTTCAGGCGAATCGGACTCTGCTCGCTTCTCCTCCTCGCACAATTTCTTCTCCAGCTCCTTCTTATCCCTCAGGCAACGACGTTCGGTCAGATCATGTTCATCGTATCGCTTGTAGCATCATGGGCATACAACTCATTCCTGTCGTCACTGGAGCCGGAGAAAATACAAACCGATATCCTGTTGAAAGCGCTTCATCATCCACCCATGTTGAAAATTGCACTAAAAAACAGAGCTGCTCAGGCAGTTTTTGCATGTTTGGTTCTCAGCGATAATACCCGGAGGCCTCCGAATTCTGACTTCAAGCCAAAAGAGGTGTTACAATGTTTCATCCCAAACGAAACAAGAGTATGGAATACATGGAGAGACAAAGTAGTGGAGGAACTGGAAGAAAACGGTGGAGAAAAGTCGTTCGACCTTAGCTCTAGTGACCTGTCCGAGTTTAAAGTTGGTGAGAAGGAACTCCTGAAGTCATTGCTTCGTGATGCCCGCAATGCGTATCAAGGTTACCACAATCACATACACAAAATCAGGTCGATTTCTTCGTCAAACGAGAAACGACCATCTTAACTAGACTACTATGTCCGAAGTTGTATTATACTTGTTGTAACATAGCATCCATTCCGCAATAAGTCCAATGAATACATGGCCTTAACTGAAATGACTCGAAACTCCTCAACTTCGGAAACTGGGTGACGCTATGCATCTGGCGTGCTCCAAATTATACCACCATCTCCCCCATCGCCTCCACGACCCTTGGCCCGATTTTACTCTTCTTCTGCGAGGCCGTAGTTGACGCGCTCGCACTACGGGCCCTAGGAGTGAGAAAATCAACTGCGAGCCTAGACCCTGTGGGGATCATCGGTAGCACCTGCATTATCTTCTCCGCATCGTGCACGAATTCGGCAGGATCGACAACTTTGGATGTAGCGCGCCCGCGTCGAAAATGATACTTAGGGCGTGTAAGAGTGACATTGGCATCGGATTGAGCACGCTTGAGCTTCGAGACCTGCACAGGCGTTGTAAGGCTTGTCCTTTGGGAGTGCGAACGGAGCATGCGGGGAGGTTGTGCTGTGGGTGAAGATGCAAAGGGGAGGCGAATTACAACTTCGCGCGGGTGGGAGTTGTTTCTGGAGAGACGAGCACTGCGTCGACGCTGTACATTCCGTTGAGCGCTGGTCAGGGAGCTCACGACCTCGCTGCTGTCTGACCCGAGCAGAGGAGAGGCTGAAATGTCAAGACTCTCGAGGAGGCGTGAGCCCGACGTAGTAGGCACACGACCAGGTGGGGTATTAGCATTCTCCGGTGAAGCACGCCTCCGTTTTTTCAAAGGTTCCTCTTGTTCTTGTTCCTCCCTCAGCATTTCCAAGCGCGGGCGACGCATGGCAAGTGGGCTAGAAGGAGAAACAATAGTCCGTTCGTCCGTCACGGTTGCACTCGAGTCAATATCCACATCCCAGGGTGCTTCATCAAATGCCGCACCCATGCTCTTTATTCGTACCGCCCTAGGTGCGCCTGGAACGGGTGGGACTGATTCCCGTGTTGTCTCTGCGCGGATCCCAGTTAGGACTTCTATCGCTCCCCGAATATCTGCATCTTCCACGTCATCACCGCATGCAATTTGCAGTGCCTTTGGCAGACGTCCATTGATGTTCTGAGCAACCTGCACAAGTTCAGGGCGAGGCATGGTAACAAGGTCCTCATGGCAGCAGAATGGTGCGTGTTGGAAGGATGTGATGATGATACTGTCGGTGGATAGAGACGCGGTCTGAAGAGCGACCGCGGGGGGAGGAGTGTAATAAAGGGGGCGACTGATTGATGGCCTTACAGTGTCCGTAGAGTGTGAACGTGGACGGGAATGTACCCCGATTTGAAGCGGAGAACGCAAGAGAGAAGTTACACGCCGAATGGGAGTCTGGGATTTGGCGAGAGGGATGGAAGAGACAGGCATAGACGAAGATCTGTCGGTGAAACGCATGGCAATCACTAAAAAGAGGAAGTTGGTGGGACGTTACCGACTTGAAGAGCAGCCATGAAATATGACAACTGATTCAGTGGAGGCTGACTGCGAAGCATTCACGCAGGAGTGGTCAGCCACTACTTGCAGTTGATGATGTCCTCCAGGTTATCCACGGGGTATCGGTGCATGTATTCTAAACCTTAGATTACGCGTATGACTGTTGGGAATTTAGAAAGATCGAAACGATCAATGCAGGTGGCCTTCAATATCAAGAAATGGTTCAGTACATACCCTCGATTGGAGGAGTTGAACGATCTAGTGCAGTGGGCTACTAGTGCTTGTCAACTTGCCCGCCAAGTGTACTGCCAATGTTGTTCGTTCGATAGATACCATTCTGACATGTAATGAAATCTTCAAAATGCAAACAAGTTGTCTATCGTCGACGTTGAACGTGAGCAAAGGAAAGTCACGTGACTACGTTGTGCGTTCACTGCACGTTGCA